AGACCAGGGATACTGAAAGATCTCAAGACAATGGGCTCGGTGTCCCTCTTCATTTTCTTCATCACTCTGCTGGTACTCAGCAGGCAGGTAGGAACCTCCATCTTTTCCCACCTTTTCATACCACTTGAAAGGTTCACTCTGCGTTTGTTTAGGAGGCTCCCACTGTTTCTCGCTTACTGCATTGTCACAGTTACCTCTCGCATTGAACAGCTGGATCGCCTTATGCTTGTTAGACAAAATGTTGTGGCATGAAACAATCACCATAGAACACAATTGAACATCGTATTGGTTCTGAGGTGTGAAATAATTAAATCTTCTTTGAAATTGTCATTTTTTACACCTTTAAACCCTAGAAGCTTGCCTTGAGATTTTTGCTCAGATTCCATTTGTTTGTGTACAACTTGCCTCCCTGCCCCGTTTAGATCCATAGTGGTAAGCAGCAAGGCAGGTTTATTTGTTTTATTGTTTACAGCATCTTGATCATACAGTGTTGTTCAGAAAAACTTGTTCTGGAAACCTCTATTCATAGTATCAAGAATTTTGTTTGCATGTTGCTTTGTATTTAGTGTAGGTTGCAAGACCAAGAAAAGTTGTTTATTTATTATTATGTTTATATCCTGCCTTCCCTTCAAGGATCTCAAGGTTTTGTGAACATTTTACCCCCAGCCACAAGGTCACCAAATGAGCTTCATGGTGGAGTGGAGATTTAAAACTGGGTTTTCCTAGTCCATCCCTCTAACCACTACCCCACACTGGCACCATAAGAAATGCTGTGATGATATGCTTGTCAGTTGTTGGTGAAAGCTAGTCAGCTATAGGTACAAAGAGCAGGGCCTTTTCTGTGGTGCCCCCTCTCAATTGGTGGAACTTAATTCTAGGCTAAATGAGGCAAGCCGACGTCTTTAAACAAGCTCTATAGACACTTCTTTAGGATTGTCTTTGTGCTGTGCATTGGGCTCTTTTAGGATCCCTGCATTGTAGGGGGTTGGACCTTGGGGTCCCTTCCAACTCTACAATTCTATGAGTCTGTGATTAAAATATAAGGTTGATCATTGGGCTAGACTACGGTAGTTGGGCCTTGTGGCCAAGGCTCATTTTAGTCCTACATTTATTTGTCATCAGAATCAGAGTTGTTTATTGTTGTATCTTGTTAAACTGCTGTGTGAGATTATTGTTCTGAAAAGTAGCACGTAAACCTTTTCAATTAATACATGAATACGTTCTTGTTTTTTGTAGATGAACTCTAATATAAAACAGAGTATGTTGTTACAGTGGTGCCTCGCAAGACGAAATTAATCCGTTCCGCGAGAGTCTTTGTCTAGCGGTTTTTTCGTCTTGCGAAGCAAGCCCATTGACGGATTAGCGCTATTAGCGCTATTAGCGGTTTAGCGGCTATTAAAGGCTTAAAGGCTTAGGGGATTAGCTGCTAAAAGGCTATTAAAGGCTATTAAAGGCTTAGCAGATTAGATAAAGGGGGGGGAAAGCGAAAAAAAAATCTCTAGACTCGCAAGATATTTTCGTCTTGCGAAGCAAGCCCATAGGGGAATTCGTCCTGCGAAGCAACTTCAAAACGGAAAACCCTTTCGTCTAGCGGTTTTTCCGTCTTGCGAGGCATTCGTCTTGCGGGGCACCACTGTACTTGTAAAACTAAACAGTCAACTTTTTGAAAATGACAATTTCTATAGCATTGAGCTTCTCACATTATTATCCATTAAAGTACAGGTTTTTCATAACCTGTTGGGAGAGGTGTTTAAATATGAATTCAGGATTGTGTTTGCCCGTACCAATTTACTGATAATGACCAGTTTACTGCAGTAATTTCGGCAGTTTGGTTTTCTAAGAGGTCTATTTTTGTGTTACAACGGCTGGTGCTCTTTCACTTTATGAGCTCTGCTAGCAAGAGCTGAGAGCGACATTGTTTGTTTTGCTCAGTAAATTAGCCTAGGATAGTAATGAGGCATTGAAAGGCCACAGTTCTAATTCTCATGATAAATATGCACTTGAACAAAGCATCTCTTGGCTATATTTTGCATTATAAGGTCAGTTTGGAAAATGGTTCAGCATCTGAGTTTGCCTCATGGCGCTAACTGTAAATGCTTTTGAGTAGAAACTGAAGTCAGTTCCTTGATTCTCACATAGATAATCAATACTGAGGGCTTTTATTAAAAATATAGGGCCTGCCTTAGTGACTCAGTTCTGAAGTCCACCTGGATCCAATTGAAGAGGGTGTAAATAGGACGTGCCCTGCCAAGCAACTTCCCCACCTTCTTGTTTTTAGTAGAGGTCGACTTGCTCTTCACATGGAGGTTTCACTCAGCTGTCACGGCTGACAGCACTCATTGCCAAAGTTCATGCGCTGGATACTTCAGGGCTGGATTACTGCAAGGCACTCTGTGTGGGGCTTCCCTCACACTTGATCCAGAGGCTACTTTTGGTGCAGGATGCTGCAGCACAATTGCTGATGGGAGTGAGGCCCTTTCAGGATACAGCACCTGTCATAGCTGACAACTTACAGATTTGAAAATAAGGGACCAGCAGCCTCAAAAATAAGGGATCAGCAGCCAAAATAAGGGATTTTGGCTTAGTTTATACAGGAATCCATCCGGCACTGATGGAGCCATGCTGCTTTGGCTGCGACTGACTGGGTTTTGCAGGGGGTTGGATTAGAAGATCCTAAGGGTCTACAACCCCCACCAAAGAAGAGGGGCAGACAAAACTGATGAACGACATAGAGATGGCAAAGCTTACAGGCAGAATTAGAAACCTGGAAGAGGATCTCTTTAATAAAGAATGGGGAAAGTTTATAATTTAGTTGAAAAGCTATTGTAAAGAGTTACATACATTGGTTGGATTGACAGAAAACTTGTAGTAAAAATTTGAACTATGGCTGGACAAATGATTTATAAAAATAGAGTTATGAAAGGGATTCAGAGGGGGAAATCACTACATTAAGATGCTGCACTGGTTGGAGGGGATGCTAAGCAGCATGTCGGGGCTGCCGTTGTCCTGGTGCAAGGAGTTCCATCGGCCCTTCCCCGCCCGACGGGGGTGGGGAAGGGAGAGACTCTTGCCCACGGCACCTGCGAGCCCAGCATGAGGCGGTTGTGGCACAGCCGCGGCCGCTGAAGTGCCGCCCTTCTGCGTCCCTCCCCATCCCCTCCTCTTCCTCCTCCCTCAGGCCGCCTCCTCAGCCGCTGCCGCTGCCCCCTCCGGCTTCCCCTGGCAGCGCGGCGGAAGTCTTGCAAGAGAGTGCCCACCCACCGCCACCCGTCTCCTCACGACGCGCCCCTGAGGGGGAAAAGGGAGAGACGGAGACACGGCAGCTCGCGCGCGTGCTCTCTCTCACTCTCTCGAGGCGGAGGACCCCGAGCCGCTGCTTCCCTCCCGAGCCGGGCGAGCGTGAAACCCGGGAAATTTAAGGGACATCATCAATAAGGGACAGCAGCGGGAAATGGCGCAGGGATAAGGGAGTTGCCCGCCAAAAAGGGACAGTTGACAGCTATGGCGCCTCTGCTCAGAGATCTGCACTGGTTGCTGATCTGCTACAAGGCTGAGTTCATGGTGTCACTGTTAGGATACAGTGTCATGTGACAAAGACACATGAGAGCAGAAGCAGCCAAGCAGGCTGGGAGGCGCTGGGACGGCACAGTCATTTGGGGCTACTCAAGTTCTCCAGGCCTGACTGCTAACTGGGGAGTCCCTCTGGCTGGGGACTCGGCAGCCAGTTTCTCTTTGTGCTCTCTGTAAGTTTTCAGTCAGAGTCCGTCTGCCTCAGCTGTGAGCAGTATGTAATCTCAGTCAAACTGTTTGGAACCATGTTGTTTATGAAGAAGTTTATTTTAACTCAGTAAAGCTCTTATTCTTTAAAACTCTGCATTATTAATTTACGCCGCACGTCATACAAAGCCATTAACAACTTAGGCCAGTTTACCTACGAGATCCTCTGTCCCTGCCTGTGCCCTCTCAGCTGCCTCGGTCTGTGAATTTGACACTATTACAGGCGCCTTCGTAAGAAATTTGTTGTTTTGTGTGGCTGCGCCTAGACTTTGGAACTCCCTGCCTCTTGAGATCAAGCGAGCGCCTTCACTGTACTTTTTTTGGCACATGCTGATAACATTCCTGTTTAAACAAGCCCTACTCAGATGCTTAGAAAGTTGAGGTAATTCTAATCTGCTTTAGTATTTTAACTTTTGTATGTTTTAAAGCAGAACTATTACTTGATTTTACTGTTTCATCTTTTTGTAAACCGCTCTGAGGTTTTTTATAATCAAGCGGGGTATAAAGTTTATGAAATAAGTAAGTAATGTTGTCCCTTACCACATTTTGTGTCAGTGTCGTGTGGTGAAGCACTTTGATTTTCCCAGTCCTGAACCTATTGCCAGTCCATCCCCTCTAGAAATATGTCACCCAAAGATTAATAAAGCAGATCTGTTTTATGTCAGCTAAAACGAGAACAAAAAAGGAGCATTGCTGTTGTTTTACTTTGCCTCTTTGCCTGACTCTCCTTAGTGCTGCCTCAGCAGGACTGCAGATTTGTTGCCTTGCCTGCTCTGTGTTTTTGCACTGCCGCGCCAACGGAGCTTAGCTGGGCCAGCGGGAAGCAGCCCAAGACTGGGGGGCTGTTTAATTCCATCCCGATATTGTTCTCCTGTGGGCTGTGTCAATATTGTGCTTGTGGAATGCAATTTAATTGAAACTCTCCTTACCACTGTGGAATATTAATACTGTGATAAAGTACCTTATTAAGCTTTGAGTAGACTTTAACTCTTATTTGGTGGCTAGTGCTGAGCAAGAGGAGTATTTTAATTTGCTGTTGAGTTGCAGTTAAAGGTCAGATCTTGTGAATCTTTCGCCAGCCCCACAACCTCAAGCTCTCCAGCCGTTGAGCTTCTGGCGTGTAACATGCTTCATAGGCAACTAGTGCTTGAATCATAGAATTGTAGGGTTGGAAGGGACTGCAAGGGTCATCTAGTCCAACCCCCTGCAGTGCAGGAATCTTTTGCCCAACATGAAACTCGAACCCATGACCCTGAGATGAAGAGTCTCCTGCTCTACTGACTGAGCTATCCCAGTTAGCTGCTGGATTGCACGGTGTGCACACACACATCTATTCCAGTGCAATCTTCGTTCTTTCAAAAAAATGTCTTATTTAGATTATTTTAAAAATCTGTATACAATATTTTGCCATCTTTTATTATAATTTCTTTTTTAAAATATATTTTTATTGAACAGTTTTAACAGACAAATTATCAATCAATATAACCAATTACATTCCCCCCTTTTATTCCCTCCCATTCCTTCCTCTCCCACCCTCCAGAGACTTCCCTCATCTCCAAACTCTGATTTGTTTGCACATATTATTCTCTGCATGTTAAAAAGTTATACATATCATTACCTTATCTATCCTATGTTCTACTAATAAATTTGTGGATGTTTATTCAAAACCTGCCAAGGTATCCAAGTCTTTTTGTTGTCTTTTTAAATAGTTTGTAAAAAGTTCCCATTCTTCCTTGAAGTCACGGTTGTCCTTCTCTCGTGGTTTATATGTTAATTTGTCCTAAAATCCCTAACAAAAATGTTTCTGGTTCTTTTACAAATGTCATTTTGAACATTTTTTTCAGTTCATTATATTTCATCTCCCAATTTTTTTTAACTTCTCTACATTCCCACCACATATGATACAAAGTACCTTCTTTTTCCTTACATTTCCAACATATATTTGACACAGTTTTATACATTTTTGCCATTTTTACTGGTGTGATATACCATCTATACATCATTTTCATATAGTTTTCCTTCAGAAGAGAACAGTCTGTAAATTTCAAATCTACTTTCCACAATTTTTCCCAGTTCTCAAATTGTATATTATGTCCTATATCTTGCACCCATTTAATCATAACCGATTTGACCTCCTCGTCTTTCGTTTCCCATTCTAGCAGTATACTATATTCTTTCTTCAATAACTTTGTGTCTTCTTCTATAACCTCTTTTTGGAATCTAGAGATTGTATAACTAAACCCTTTTTTGCTATCTTCCTTATAAATTTCATTTAATTGTCTGTAATGCAACCAACTCTGAAAATGATTTTGTGATGGCCTGGGATTCCGATTCGGAGGATGAAACAGAGGAATCCCGGCCTGCACAGGAGTCCCCGCCTCCAGGGCCGGCTGAACTGGGGCAAGGCCTTGATGCTGAAGAGCCTGCACCTGTGGCAGTGCATCAGGAGCTGGCCCCAGGTGAAGCCCTTCGGGCCCCAGAGGGGCTTGATGACTCAGTGGCCACAGGTGAGCCTCCTCCAGGGCCCAGTAACCCTTCGGCCTCTCCTGATCTGCAGAGGCTTAGGGCAGAGAGGCGAAGGGAACTGGTTGCCCCAGGAGGAGTGCTCGCCTTAAGGCCAGAGGAGGCGGGGCTCCTGGGGACCGGGACCGCCCCTGGCCTTAGAAGAGGATAAAAGCCCAGTCAGCCCGGCCCCAGGTTGCGGGAGCAACGTCGTTGTTGGCTTCGGACCTTCCTGTGTTCCTGATCCCTGCTCGGCTTCCTGTTCCTGACTATCCGGTACTCCTGTTCCCTGCTCGGCCTCCTGTTCCCGACCATCCGGTGTTCCTGTTCCCTGCACAGCCTCCTGTTCCAGCAGTCCTGTTCCCCGCCCGGCTCTCTGCCTCGGACCTTGCCCCTCTTCGTGTGGACTCTGCTACACCCAAGGTACCTTACCCCCCGGGACCAGCACAGTTTGCTCCCGCCAAACCCGCACTCCCCCTTCGTAGGGGTGCGTTCGGGAAGAGCCAGAGGCCATGGCTGACCAGGCGGCTGCACTGGTGGCTTTGGCCCAGAAGAACCAGGCCTTGACTCACACCGTGCAGCAGCTCAGTGACGCGGTTGTGGCACTTCAACAACGCTTGGAAGCCCTACCGGCTCCTGGGGCCGACGCCCGGCTCCTGGCAAGTACCCAGTGGCTTTGCCTGAGAAATTTGATGGAGCCCCGGCCAGCTTTCCCATGTTCCTGGCCCAGGCCAAGCTGTATATTCAGGGGCGAGCCCGGAACTTTCCTGACGACCGCACCAAGGTGCACTTTTTGATTAGTTTGTTAAAGGACCAGGCGGCCAAGTGGGCGTTGCCGCTACTCAGGCAAGATTCCCCTTGCTGGCAGACTATACGGGGTTTTGCAATCGTTTGGAGGCCGCGTTCGGCAACCCCCAGAAAGGGAGTCAAGCCAACCGGGCGATTCGGCGTTTGAAACAGGGCAAGTCCACGGTGGCCGCATATACCACGGAGTTTCGGCTGTTGGCACAGGACTTGACCTGGAATGATTCGGCACTGCGGGACCAGTATCTCGAAGGGCTTTCGGACGAGGTACTGGACCAGTTGGCCACAATGGAACGCCCCACCACGCTAGACACTCTCATTCAACGGAGTCTACAAATAGACGACCGGTTGGAGGATCGTCGTCAGGCCCGGGGTCGCCGACACTTCCAGTTCACGGCACCAGCTTTCCGGCAGCCCCACGGTCACAACTGATTTAACGGAGGAGCCTATGCAGCTCGGGGCAGTGCGGCCACGCCTTTCCCCGCAGAGAAGGCGCGGCGTCGGGAGGGAAATCTCTGTCTTTACTGTGGCGGAAGTGGACACTTCGCTCGGTCTTGCCCTGAGAAACGCCAGCCGCAGGGAAACCGCCAACCCCAGTAGCTGATGGCCCTAGCTGCCGGGGGTCCCAAACCGCGCAGAATGGGCCTGCATCAATGGACTCGCAACATCTTATGGTTCCGGTACGTTTATACCCTCCAGGTGGGCCCTGGATCCCCACCCATGCTTTGGTGGATTCAGGGGCAACCCGCTCTTATATGGACGCTGCTTTTGCCGCCCATCATCAGGTGCCACTTCGGAACAAGCCAGTACCGGTCCAGGTGGAAGCGATTGACGGACGACTTCTGTGTTCAGGTGCCGTTACTCAGGAGACCCAGCCCCTGGTCCTGTGTTTCCAGCAGCACCGGGAGTTGCGAACTTTGGACATTGCCTCTATGCCCCGCTTTCCCCTGGTGCTCGGGATGGACTGGCTGGAAGCCCACAACGTTCAGATTCACTGGGTCAAACGGACCGTGCACTTCCCAGACCCATGTTCCCATGCTCAATCCGGGACGCTGGCGGCCGCGCCCTCAGAGGAGGCAGCACCCACGCTCCCAGCCGTGTATCAGGACTACCAGGACGTGTTCGAGGAACGGGGGCAGACCAGCTGCCGCCGCATCGGCCTTTGACTGCGGCATAGACCTCCAACCCGGAGCGCCTCTACCAGTGAGTCGCTTATATTCTCTAACAGAGCCAGAGCGCGAGGCTTTGCAGGACTTCTTGCGCAAGAACCTGGAGCGTGGGTTCATTAGGCCGTCCACCTCGCCTACCGCGGCACCAGTGCTTTTCGTTAAGAAGAAATGTGGGGAACTCCGCCCTTGCCATGATTACCGAGCCTTGAACAAAATTACCGTCCCAGACCGATACCCCTTGCCCCTTATCTCGGAGCTGCTGGAGCGGGTGCAAGGGGCACAGGTGTTCACCAAGCTGGACCTCCGGGGGGCCTACAACTTGATTCGGATCCGAGCCGGGGATGAGTGGAAGACAGCGTTTGGGACCCGGTACGGGCAGTTCGAATATTTGGTTATGCCTTTCGGGTTGTGCAACGCGCCTGCTGTGTTCCAACGCTACATCAACCACGTGTTTCAGGACTTGTTAGACAAGTACGTGGTGGTGTATTTGGATGACATACTGATTTACTCCCGTGACCCGGCTCGCCATGAGGGACATGTCCGGACCGTGCTGCAGCGCTTGCGTGAGCACCGTTTGTACGCAAAGCTCAGCAAGTGCGAGTTCCATCAGCGGACTGTGGACTTCCTTGGTCACCGGCTCTCTCCGGATGGGGTGCAAATGGACCCGGGGAAGGTGACAGCGGTTCAAGAATGGGCGGCACCCCGGAACCGCAAGGACCTACAACGGTTCCTGGGGTTCGCCAATTACTACCGGACCTTCATCGCTGATTATGCTCATCGCACCACCCCGTTGACCCGGCTACTGCGCCCAAAGACGCCGTTTTCCTGGGACAAGGAGGCAGAGGAGGCGTTTCAGGGGTTGAAGGCCTGTTTCCAGAGGGCACCAATCTTACAACATCCTGACCCCTCTCGACCCTTTGTGGTGGAGACCGACGCCTCCAGTACGGCTCTCGGTGCCGTCTTGTCTCAACAGATTGGGCCCGAAGCGCCACTCTTACCCTGTGCCTTCTATTCCCGCCAGCTCCTACCAGCGGAGCGTAACTATACTGTGTGGGAGCGGGAACTACTGGCCATCAAGGTAGCCTTCGAGGTCTGGCGCCACCATCTTGAGGGGGCACGACATCCGGTGGAGGTAAGAACCGACCACCGGAACCTGGAGTACCTCCAGACCACCCGCAAGCTGAACCAAAGACAGATCCGGTGGGCGTTGTTCTTTTCCCGGTTCCAGTTTCGGATCCGCTACATCCCTAGCTCTCAGAATCTGAAGGCGGATGCCCTGTCCCGGAAACCTGAAGACAACGCAGACACGGTACAGCAAGCAGAACCCGCCACGATCCTACCTCCGGCCGCATTCCTGGCCACCCAGGAGGCGCAGCCACTGCAGGTTCGGGTGCGGGAACAGCAGCGGGTCGACGCTTGGGCCCAGGAACGACTCCGGGAGCTGGCTGAAGGGTCCAGCCCACAGTATCCGGGGCTGGTCCTGCATCAGGGCCTCCTGCTGCACCACGGTCGTCTGTGACATCCCGCCAGGGCCACTGCGGCTGGAGGTTCTCCGGATGGCCCATGATGCCCCGGCAGCGGGGCACTTTGGACGGTATCGGACCACCCATCTGGTCAGTCGTGAGTTTTGGTGGCCCCGCCTGAAGGCTGACGTGGCTCGCTACGTTGCTGGCTGTGATGTCTGCCGACGCGCCAAGGGGCCTACCGGGCGACCCCCCGGCCTACTTCAGCCATTGCCAGTTCCACCGCGCCCTTGGCACACAGTTTCGTTGGACTTTGTAGTGGACTTACCCTCGTCTCGTGGCTGTACCTGCCTTCTGGTTTT